GGTCTTTCTTCTTCTTCTGAGCTGACAAAACACTAAATGTAAATTTATCAGAACAATTCAGTTTGTCCCTCTTTTAAACATTTTCCTTATTTTGGAGTCGCCTTCACTTTGGAGTGGCCCTCCAAAACACTACATGTCAAAAAAGTACAGTACTGTGCAAAGGTTTTAGATAATCACGTAACATTTATTGCCCAAGATCAGTGGATGAGAGCCTTTTAAGATTCAACATCTTATGATTCTTTATTTTGAACATACTACAGCGGAGGGCATACAGGACACCAGAGGCAAGAAGAGGTGTATGAAAAGGTGCCCAGCTGGAATTGAACAAGGGATATTGCAGGTATCAGTCTTTTTGCACCACCAGCGGCTTCAAGTGACCCAGCCTCACACTTGCTCAGGCATCTCCAGCTGTTTCCCCCAAGTCTTTTATACGTTTCCCTCACTTGCATCTTCTCCTTGTGTCTTAGTCCCGTGCATGTAAGATGCAAAGAAAAGACACAGGGAGAGAGGAATTAAGGAAACATGTTCAGACATGAGACGTCCTTTTCCTCTGAAGCTTCCAATCACCAACTGATTTCCTCCAGCAGCCTCCTCACTCCTCAAAGCAGATATAAGAGTCTTGGGACGTACTCGACCAGAATGACAGCGAGGCCGAGCGACGTCCCTGAGGAACAATCAAATAAGAGACACGAGAAGCAACCTGGTCTGTTTTTTTTGTGGCTGGTTTATGTTGCATACAATAAACTATGGTGCATCCAAAAGAGCATAATCCTTCAGTGCCAGTTTTATAAAGGTGATCAACAGCACCAACTAGAGACTGTGTGGACCTAAAGAGGAATATAAACATAAATATAAAACTGTTCCTAATTCACAGACGTTGAAGCCAATACGTCTGTAAAGGCTCAGGACTGTCCCACTGTGAAATCAGAAAGTGGGAACTATCTAAGCTCTGTAGACTAAGACTATGCAGACTGCTGTAGGTTTTGCTTGAGGCAGTTACCCACAGTCCATAATGCTGTAATGTTAAAAGCAAGTATGGTAGTTTTATTATACCTGGTTCATTTTGTATGGTATGATCTACACTCACACACAGGCAATGTTTATTAAAGTCTGTGATGTTCACTAGGCAGGTTGCACGCACGGGTCCAATTTTGAAAATTTGCACCCTCAAAGCTATGTATCAGACCCGACCCAGTTATTTCTAAATGAAAGCTGGACCTGACCCACAATTAAAAGAGACTTCTAGCAACTCAGTCACTCACTTTAAAGTGCTTGAGAGTTGTGTTCTGTGTCGATGGACGCAGCACCTGGGCTCTGTCTGCAGCTGTTCCCTTAGTGAGGACGTGCCCCACTAATAAATATTTATTTTTAATTATGTCTATTTCACTTGCTACCTGCCCACATTAAGTCCAGTTTTACCCGTGAATTAATACAATCTTTTACTGTTACACACCATATTTTGCAGGTACCCTTTGCAGATTGAACAGTGGAATTTGTTTACATGAATTACAGTACTTGGTTACTTACTTACGCAGCCTTATTTTCCACCTTAAATTGACTTGAAAAATGCAGACGTCTTTATTCATATCAGTTTCAGATTTATTAGAACTTTGTTTTCAATTTTTCTAGGTCTTTTCTTCCATCCCCACACACAATACCTGACTAAGACCCCAGTCCAGATCTTGGAAATGCACATACTTGTATACTCTTATAAAAAAACTGTTATGAAGAACTCCCGTTTCTCCACAGAAACGCAGCGCTGTCACCAAGTATTCAAACCAAAAACAGCATTGCAGTCAACAATATAAGGCTCTGCCAGTGAGATGATGAGAGAATACCATCCAGGAAAGTCCAGTTAGAGCAAGGGATCAAAGAGTTTCAGGGCTTATCACACACAAAACATAATACTACAAGTATGGCTTTTACAATGCTAAAAAAATGTTAAAGTGGCAATCACCTGTCATGGCAATCACAAGGTAAACAGTAGAAATATACAGCTCCCATTACTGGGAAATCCAGCAGAAATGTGCACTTGCACATATGTCAATAGCCAATTCTGTGCTTTTTTTTCTGTGCCAGATGACGCTGCATTATGTTGTGGCAAAAGTTAAGCCAGATCCGCTGTTTGTGCAGGATGAACCTGCATTTGTGTTTTTCACTCTAAGTGCATTAGCCCTAACTTGAACCATATTTCTATTAATCTCTTACCCCAAATTAACAAAGCTTCTTGTTTATGTAATGCTTCTGTTACACATTTAAAGAAAACACAGATGGATTTTTAGGCCAAGGATCAAGTAATACATATTAGCTGAAAATGACTGTAGCGCCCTTAGACTGTATCCAGGTTAATGTGCCATCCTCCACTATTCTTTTTTTCCTCAGTTAGCCCTCAGTTCCAAATAAGGTAGGAAATTAAGAACAGAGCTAAACAGCAACTTCACAGAACAAAGTTATGAAATAGGACACCACTTGTTTCACATGAACAGGCTGGGAAGAGTGAGAGCTGAAGGGACACACATGGCAGCACCAGTTCAGGCAACATGGAGCTTCTTGAAAGCAAAAATATTAAAGAGAAACACATACAGTATCTTGTTGCCACTCACAGGATACTGTTGACTAATCTCAGATGACAATGTAATTGAGGTGGAAGCAAACAAGGATAATGAATTTATGCTAGTCTGCACCCACTGCAGTGACCAAAGCCAAATGTAATGCCTCACTTTGGTCCCATTGTAACATTTGACCTCTGACATCAAGCAAAAAACATGGCAAATTAAATTTCTTCTGATAATAAAGTCACTACCTGCTCTGCTGTGTGCCCCTGTGTCTCCATTCTGCACCAGCTGCCCCATGGGGCCTGAGCCCCGCCCAGGGTTGAAGGAGGCCGTCGGTCGAACAGATGGGGTGTCGGGATTCAGGGTGAACGCATTACCGATTTGCAGACCATTCTGCTCTGCCGGGCCTTCACCTGCCTGAACACACAAGGTGTGTAGGTTAGGTTTCGTCCACGGTAACGTAACATTAGAATGGAAGGTGATAAGGAACAAAAGAGGGTAGTGTGCAAAACCTGCACTGACTCCAACCTCATCTAACTAACTGCATATGAGCCAAATAAACACCGCCATAAAATATCAGCTTTCGTCAGTGTCATTACAAAGATATCAGTATTCAGTTCGTTAAAAATAAATCTTGCAGAAAAGGGGCATGTTTTCATCAAGATTTACCAGCAGACATCAGATTAACTAAAGATGGATGACACATTAAACGAAAATCGATAGATAATCTTTTATTGTCATTGTAACACGTACAACAACATTTTAAACACACACAGGCATATTATATTTTAGCAGCATCCAGTGTGGTAACTGCTGTTGGGTAAAACCTATTCCTGAATCTAGTGGTCCTTGATTTGATTGCTTTGAACCGTCTACCTGCGGCAGCAGTTTCGTGAGCGAACGTCCTGGGTGTGAAGTGTCCTTAATAACGTTCGGGGCTTTTTTGAGGCAGCAGGAACTGTGTAGTTCTTCCAGGGTGAGGAGAGAGCAACTGATGATCTCCTGGGCCGTATTAATGACCCTCTGGAGCGTTTTCCTCTGAGCCACTCTGCTGCTGCTGTACCATACACATATACAGTATGTAAGGATGCTCTCAATAGAGCACCGATAGAAGGACACCAGCAGTCTCTGGGAGATGTTGTTCTGAGCACCTGTAGAAAGTCTAGTCTCTGCTCCAGAGGTATTCATGCCCCAGGCCAAATCCTCCTTAAGGTGAATTCCCAGAAAGCGGAAGGCCAGCACCCTCCACCACCATGGTGTCATCAGCAAATTTTACGATGGTGTTGCCGAAGTGGGCGGGGGTGCAGTCGTGGGTCTACAGGGTGTAGCAGGGGGCTCAGCACACAGCCTTGTGGTGAACCAGTGCTGAGGCTAAGCCGTGGATGTGTGTGGGCTCACTTTCACCCTCTGGCTGCATCTGGACAGGAAGCTCTTAATCCATATGCAGGTGGAATATGGAATTCCCAGGTCCACCAGCTTGTCCACCAGTTTGTGGGGGAGGATGGTGTTGAATGTGGAGCTATAATTCACAAAGGGCAGCTGTGCATAGCTTTCCTGATGCTCCAAGTGGGACAGCACAGCGTGGAGGGCTGTGGCTACGGCGTCCTCTGTGGATTTATTTGTCCTGTGTGCAAACTGGTGTGGGTCAGATGTTGGTGGGAGGAATGTGTCCCCGTACCAGTTTCTCAAAACACTTCATCACCACTGGAGTGAGTGCAATTGGCCGGTAGTTATTGAGGCTGGTTATGTTGGGTTTCTTAGGCAGGGGAACTAGGACGGAGGACTTCAGGCAGGGTGGGACAGTGGACTGGGCCAGAGACTGGTTGAAGATACTGGTGAAGACTCCAGCCAGCTGGTCCGTGCAGTCCTTCAGCACACATCTGGGGACACTGTCTGGTCCAGCAGCCTTCCTTGGGTCTACAGCCCGCAGTGTGCGCCTCACCTCATGCTCCTGTAGTGTGAGGGTGGGGCCGCTGTTGGCCGCAGGTTGAAGTTTGGCTATGTCTGGTTGCTGCCCCTCAAAGCTGACAAAAAAAGAGGTTCCGCTCCTCTGCTAGCAAGACGTCCCCTTCAGCCGCACCGAGATTATTCCTGTGGTTGGCAAGATGCTGGACTCCCTGCCACACCTGCCTGCTGTTGTTGCTGTCCAGATGGTCTTCGGTCCTCCCACTGTAGTCCAATTTGGCCTTTCTGATGCCTCTCTTCAGGTTGGCTTGAGCCACACTGTAGAGCACCCTGTCACCTGTCCTGAAGGCAGTGTTCCTCTCTCTCAGTAGCCACTTGACCTCCCATTTCATCCAGGGCTTCTGCTTGGGGTAGACTGTGATGTGTTTGTCCACGGTAACAGTGTCTATGCAGTTCTTAATATAACCCAGGACACTGTCTGTGAACACCTCCAGGTCTGGATGTTCAAAAACGTCCCAGTTGGTCCTATCAAAACAGTCCTGTAGCTGCTGAGAGGCACCATCAGGCCAAGTTTTTACAGTCCTTGTGATGTAGGAGCAGTTTTCCTGAGGGGGGCATATGCAGGACTGGAAACAGGGACAAGTGGTCAGACTGGCCCAGGTGTGGCAGTGATCTGGCTCTATAGCCTAGCTTGATATTTGAATAAACCTTGTCCAGTGTGTTAGCTCCTCTGCTAGCACACTTTACATGCTGGTTGAATTTGGGGAGTACGGTCTTTAAATCTGCATGATTGAAGTCCCCTGGTAAGATGTGCACAGCATCAGGATATCTGCTCTGCTGACTGCTAATACTGGCATATAAATGTCTGATAGCCGAGTTAGCATTAGCATCCGGCAGTATATACACATTTGTTACGAAGACCACATTGTAGTCTCTTGCGAGGTACATGGGCCTGCATTTGACAGTCACATACTCCAAGTCTGGGGAGCAGTGATTGTCAACAGTCACTGTGTTCGTACACCAGTTGTTTGTTATTGACGTAAATACATAGCCCCCCTCCTCTGCTCTTAGCCGAGTTCCTTGTCCTATCATGGCGCTGTACTGTGTAGCCTGCTAACTCGATAGCAGAGTCCAGGATGAGTGGATGAAGCCAGGTCTCTGTAATCAGCAGAATTCAACACTCCTTCATCAATGTAATTGGTCACAACCTGTAGCCTCAAATCATCCATCTTACTAACAAGTGCTCTGGCATTCATCAGAAAAAGGCTGGGAAGCCGTGGTCTGTCTGTAGCTAACGCTCCTGCCCTGCAGCCTCGCTTGTGCTTTCTCTCCTACGCCTATGCCTCCTTGCTGTGGGGATGGTAATCCACGGAGAACCGGGGTTCCTTGCTATGTCCACTGGTATCCTTTGTGAGCGGAGAAACTCAGCTGTAATTCTCTGCTTGTAGCAAGCTCCTATCTTCAGGAGATCGTGACGACTGTAGGTGTTGTTCGCCCAGCAAAATGTGCACAATATGGAAAACAACACGTACACAAACCACCAAACAAAACACCGACTGAAGGAGCACTAAGCCGCACCAACAGCGTGCGCCGCCATCTTGCTCATACAACAAATCCTGAATAAATGAGTGGAAATAAAAAATGCAGGGGTCACTGTGTAATCTGCCGATTACTTTTTGATCTTTTTATTCACAGAATGTCAAACACTGGGAAAGATTCCCATTGTGACTTTCCAGAGTCAAAGGTGGTGTCTTCATGTCCTGTTGTGTCCAACCAACAAATCCACAGATGTTCAATTTATTCTCATGTCTGACAAAGAAAAGCATCAGCTCCTCACATTAAAGGCGGTGGAACCAGAACATGTTGGTGACTGCTCTTCAGAATAGTTACTGGTTCACTTTCTATCAGTGAACTGACCCAACAGTCACTGAATGGCTTAATGAGGATGACAAAGTGTGATGATCACAATGAGGGAATACGTTATGAAAGAAGGATGCTTCCTCAATCCAAAGAGGACCACTGAAGCTGCACTAATAAGTGTAAGATGTTTTTCCTTTCATTTGTCACCCATCTGTAGCTCTCCCTAAAATCAGTTGGTTTTTAGTTAGAAAGGTTTGAGAACTGGATGTCAATGGTGAAAGAAGTACTCAGATCCTTTACTTAAGTAAAAGCAGCAGTACAACTGTAAAAATACTCTGTTACAAGTAAAAGTCATGCATTTAAAATGTTACTTAAAAGTACAAAAGTAGTAGCATAAAAAATACTTTTAAGTACTAAAAGCAAAAGTATTCATTATGCAGAATGGCACATTTCACATTCCTGTATATCACATTATTGTTTTATAATTACTGATGCATTATTGCATACATCACATTTACTGTTGCAGCTGGTAAAGGGGGGCTAGTTTTAACTAGCTTACATGCATTTAATTTGAATTACTGCTGGGTGAATTTTCCAATGAGATCATTGAAGTCTTATAATTACACAGTTTTTTGTATTAATCTGGTTCTGAGAAGTAACTAAATGTATAAAATAACTAGTAATATTCACCTCTAAAATGTAGTGAAGTCAAGAGTATGAAATGAAAATACAGATACACAGGTCTGGATGTTCAAAAACGTCCCAGTTGGTCCTATCAAAACAGTCCTGTAGCTGCTGAGAGGCACCATCAGGCCAAGTTTTTACAGTCCTTGTGATGTAGGAGCAGTTTTCCTGAGGGGGGCATATGCAGGACTGGAAACAGGGACAAGTGGTCAGACTGGCCCAGGTGTGGCAGTGATCTGGCTCTATAGCCTAGCTTGATATTTGAATAAACCTTGTCCAGTGTGTTAGCTCCTCTGCTAGCACACTTTACATGCTGGTTGAATTTGGGGAGTACGGTCTTTAAATCTGCATGATTGAAGTCCCCTGGTAAGATGTGCACAGCATCAGGATATCTGCTCTGCTGACTGCTAATACTGGCATATAAATGTCTGATAGCCGAGTTAGCATTAGCATCCGGCAGTATATACACATTTGTTACGAAGACCACATTGTAGTCTCTTGCGAGGTACATGGGCCTGCATTTGACAGTCACATACTCCAAGTCTGGGGAGCAGTGATTGTCAACAGTCACTGTGTTCGTACACCAGTTGTTTGTTATTGACGTAAATACATAGCCCCCCTCCTCTGCTCTTAGCCGAGTTCCTTGTCCTATCATGGCGCTGTACTGTGTAGCCTGCTAACTCGATAGCAGAGTCCAGGATGAGTGGATGAAGCCAGGTCTCTGTAATCAGCAGAATTCAACACTCCTTCATCAATGTAATTGGTCACAACCTGTAGCCTCAAATCATCCATCTTACTAACAAGTGCTCTGGCATTCATCAGAAAAAGGCTGGGAAGCCGTGGTCTGTCTGTAGCTAACGCTCCTGCCCTGCAGCCTCGCTTGTGCTTTCTCTCCTACGCCTATGCCTCCTTGCTGTGGGGATGGTAATCCACGGAGAACCGGGGTTCCTTGCTATGTCCACTGGTATCCTTTGTGAGCGGAGAAACTCAGCTGTAATTCTCTGCTTGTAGCAAGCTCCTATCTTCAGGAGATCGTGACGACTGTAGGTGTTGTTCGCCCAGCAAAATGTGCACAATATGGAAAACAACACGTACACAAACCACCAAACAAAACACCGACTGAAGGAGCACTAAGCCGCACCAACAGCGTGCGCCGCCATCTTGCTCATACAACAAATCCTGAATAAATGAGTGGAAATAAAAAATGCAGGGGTCACTGTGTAATCTGCCGATTACTTTTTGATCTTTTTATTCACAGAATGTCAAACACTGGGAAAGATTCCCATTGTGACTTTCCAGAGTCAAAGGTGGTGTCTTCATGTCCTGTTGTGTCCAACCAACAAATCCACAGATGTTCAATTTATTCTCATGTCTGACAAAGAAAAGCATCAGCTCCTCACATTAAAGGCGGTGGAACCAGAACATGTTGGTGACTGCTCTTCAGAATAGTTACTGGTTCACTTTCTATCAGTGAACTGACCCAACAGTCACTGAATGGCTTAATGAGGATGACAAAGTGTGATGATCACAATGAGGGAATACGTTATGAAAGAAGGATGCTTCCTCAATCCAAAGAGGACCACTGAAGCTGCACTAATAAGTGTAAGATGTTTTTCCTTTCATTTGTCACCCATCTGTAGCTCTCCCTAAAATCAGTTGGTTTTTAGTTAGAAAGGTTTGAGAACTGGATGTCAATGGTGAAAGAAGTACTCAGATCCTTTACTTAAGTAAAAGCAGCAGTACAACTGTAAAAATACTCTGTTACAAGTAAAAGTCATGCATTTAAAATGTTACTTAAAAGTACAAAAGTAGTAGCATAAAAAATACTTTTAAGTACTAAAAGCAAAAGTATTCATTATGCAGAATGGCACATTTCACATTCCTGTATATCACATTATTGTTTTATAATTACTGATGCATTATTGCATACATCACATTTACTGTTGCAGCTGGTAAAGGGGGGCTAGTTTTAACTAGCTTACATGCATTTAATTTGAATTACTGCTGGGTGAATTTTCCAATGAGATCATTGAAGTCTTATAATTACACAGTTTTTTGTATTAATCTGGTTCTGAGAAGTAACTAAATGTATAAAATAACTAGTAATATTCACCTCTAAAATGTAGTGAAGTCAAGAGTATGAAATGAAAATACAGATACATCAAATCTGTACTTAAGTACAGTACTTGAGTACATGTACTTAGTTACTTTCCACCACAGCCAGATGCAAATTAGAAAACAGCACCATGAGAAAATAAAAAGTTCTGTATTGATTCTCACCGCCGTGACAGCCGTCGCTCCGCCCTGCAGTGATGTCACTGCAGTTATCATCAGGTTCATGTCTGTCTGGTCGTCCACTGGATGTGATGGAATAGTTACTGCAGGAACTGTGTTGCTTCCTTTGTGGCTGCTGGAGCCCAGTGTGGTGACACTGGCAATCCTGATCTCAGAGTCCGGCTCGGTGCTGCTGAGTGCACCTGGTGAGTGGGATGCAGAGGAGTCTCCAGGGGGCGCCAGTGAGGAGGAGGATGTGTCTTTCTGATCAGAATCCTCCTCATCATCAATGACAATAGGCTCTGCTTCTGTGGTTTGAGGTTTTGGGGCTGGTGCCACGGTGGATGTGCTGGAAGACACAGGAGGACTGGGGGTCTTAGAAGGTACTGCTGCCGTGGACATGTCTATTGTTGCCACAGCTGCAGCTGGCTCTAGGCAGTCTACGTTAGGCGTGTCTTGGGAAAAGACTGTGTCAGAAGGCTGGGGAGAGTCCTCTGCAACGAGAACCACGTCATCATCATTGTCTTCTGTGCCGCCTTCTTTTGTGGTCCCATCTTCTGTCACCATGGAAACTGCCTCCCCAGGCTCCTCTGGAAGGGGCGTTGTCTGTTGCTGTGGGGAGGGAGTGGCGTCCATGGGCTCCACCCACTCCCCTGCCTCTTCTGCCATGGCAGGGTTTGGTTCTGACTCCCCATCCATCACTAAGGCAACCACCTGGCAGTACAAACAAAAGGCAGTTAGAAAACAGTGAGGTAAGGCCAGTGCCACTGATTGGTTTCATGGTGTCTGACACATGTACAGGTGGCTCAGGTATCCCCAGGGACACACAGCCTCCTCAGCCTCGCCGCTGACTGATTTTAGGAAGTCACACTTGACCTGTAGCTTGATAAAATGAAGAATAAAATGCTCAATCAATTATCAAAATAATTTCTTTTTCCAATTAAAGAATTACATTTTCTGTCAATTTGAGTCATGGACAAATCTGCAGCTCTACCTGATAACTTTATTCAGCAGCCTCACAATTCTTGTCTTATTGAAATACTTGCGCTGAGATCATTTTCTCAGCGTGTACTACTGAACTGACACATTTACTCTTTAGTTAGATAACACTGGAGGCTGTATTTTGTAGTTTATCACAACAAGGTATCTGTAGTTTATGTCGTTGCTATGAAACCGGACATGATGGGAGGGTCAAAGAGTGGTTAGGAGTGCTGTCAGTTTGTTTTGAGTCTCACACCCCCTCAAGGCTGAAAAGAATTTAGAGGAGCTTTGGGTAAATAAAAAACAAAAAAAAAACAAACATTAGCACTTTTGCATTGGTGGTTTTTGATGGGCCAAAAAAAAGACTCCCTCTAAAACACAAAGTTAAGGAGTTTGAATACTTTCTGAAGCCAATATGAGTAATCTTGCTTTTCTGTCTATTTACGTTATTTTTGCTGAGACAATCATATCAAATTACTAATATTTCTTCAGACAAGTATTATATTGGTAGTGCTCAGGGACAGTGGAGGGCTTTGTTCTCCAGAGTCTAGCCTTTCTGGTTGCACTATGAAAAGAGACTGAGCAGCTGAGACTCAACAGATGCAACAGTAGGGGCGATGTTTCCAAGGCTTTAGAATTGAAATGGCCCGCCCAGTAACGGGGGCAGTGTTGCTCCTCCTCCTCGTCACATCTCTTCCTCTCAGCCTCCTCTTTTTCTCTTTCTGTTCCTGCACCTCCTCACCAACTACCCAGCGCTCTCCTCCTCCTCTCACCTGCTGTCCTTCACATCCCTCCCTCCCTGCTCTCTACCCCAGAGTAATGCTCCACAGAGCTTCACTCTTGTTGTCGTCGGCAACCAGTGAAGCTACACCTTGGTTGCCGTGGTGATGGTAAGGCCCACCATCACTGCCATCACCAGAGGGACTTGTTCTCTGTGCTCTACATCTGGGTGCTGTTGAGTTGGCTGACACAATATGTAAATAGGTAGATACTGGCCCACATTAATAAAAATGTGGTGCTCAGCATCAGGGTTGCTGCAAAGCTCACCAAATGACATTTAAGACCTTTTAATAACACACTGCTTTTCACCAGTCAAAGTACTAAAGGTGAACTGAAAAACAGTTGAGATGACAAGTTTTATGTACATGAATTTGATATTTCTATTACATCTTTTCAGTAAATTCTAGCTGTACATGATCATTCCAATTAATATCATTAATTATTAAAAATGGCCTTGATACACAAAAGAAAACAAATGGATGGCTGGATTAACCAGTTAAAAATTTGTTTACATATAGTCAGAGGTTTGGAACAACAGAAGTGTAGATTTGCTAGTTTTAGCTATTTGTTTTTGCTAAAAAACATTAAAACATTAAACATTATAACATTTTATTCCAATAAAGTTAATATCAAACTGTCTACACCAGCCTCTAAAAATATTTAAGACTGTTGTAAACTGTATTTAAGAATTTTTCAGGCCTGTACTGAAATCAGACTTGCTGATCCCTGAATGTAAACATGCATTTAACTTGGAAATGTGCCTAAATGTGTGCCTTACAGATCCAAATGAGAAGAAATACACTGAAAAATGTACACTGGGTTGGCAACACATTCAGGACCACACATTACTCTAAGCACTTCTGAGGATATCTGCATGCTCTGTGTTGATCTGTTTCTGTCAAATTCCCCTTTTCATGTTACACACCAATGAGGGTGGCTGTAAGCCACACATCACCACTGACAGCTGCAGCACAGAAACACACAGATGTGAGCCCACAAACACACTCATGTGCTGACAATGATCTTTGATCACCTATGCCTTTCACCCCAACAGTCACCCAGAACAGGAAAAGCCTGAATACAACCCTCAGAGCACAGTCTACACTGCCTATTGGGCCAGCCATGTTGGCCCCAGCACTGTGGGGTGCATCCAATACAAGAGACAGCACTACAGATATCATGGAGAAGACAATGCCGGACTCCCAGTCTTGAAATGATGTGTTGCCTAGCTGGTGAGTCTTAAGATCTCCACGGGGCTCAGGGTAACCAACTGTGAGATTACAACAAGTACAGTCAGGTGACAAATGAAAGGAAAAACCTGAATAACTGAATGGTCTCTTCCAGGAAGACAGTGCCCCCATCTACAGGGCGTGATTGGTCACTGAATTGTTTGATGAGTATGAAAATGATGTGAATCATATGCTGTGGCCTTCACAGTCACCAGCTTTCAACCCAGCTGAACACCTATGGGAGATGCTGGGGCAACTTGTTAGACAGCGCCTCCACCACCACCATCAAAACACCACGAGGGAAAATCTGGTGGAACAATGGTGTTCATCCCTCCAGTGGAGGGATCAATGTCAAGGTGCACTGAAGCTGTTCTGGTGGCACGTGGTGGCCCAGCACCTCACTGAGGCTCTTTATGTCGGGCTGTCCTTTAAATGATCACCCCTCTGTATCATGAGATGTAAAATGAGACCTGCACTATTAATCACTCCATATTTTCCAGAATGTGCTGTTCCCCAACATCATCAACTGAGAACTAAACTCATGTTCCACTGTTTATTTGTATAAAAAATAAATCAGACTTCCTGGAACATCTCTGTTTATGGCCTACTTTTAAAAACAGGGAGCTGATCTTCAACTGGCAGCTGGCATTTTGACTGCAGTTTTGTTTTGACATTGAAGACAGCTCCTTGGCAAGAAAAGGAAGGTGGACAAAATAACAAATGGCTCAAATTCATTGCAATAGCCTTGCATTAGGGCTGGGCATAATTTAACCATTTTCAGTACTAGTGCCGCTACAATAACAGGGTGAATACCCATACCAAAACCTGGTGCCTTATTCGACTCCATTTAATGGTATATTTAAATTGAATTAGCACCTCTGACTGATAATCTGTCATTAACCACAAATAATTCCAGCAAGATACTTGAACCAGCACCATACATTGAGAACATCATGGCATATCGACTGTGGTAAACCCACCCCCTACTATATAGTGCATCTTATCCAACCCTGACACTGGTATTAGTGACACAGAAAAACACAGCTTTAAAATAACAGTTCAAAATATTGAAATGTGGTTTACTGGTGTTTTTTTCAAACTTTTTTGCTTAAAATATTTAAAATTATTCAGTTATTAACATAATAGCTGATTCATTTTTAGTTCATCAACTAACAGATTTGGTGACTAATTATTGCAGCTCTACTCAAGTATTTAATGTTTTAATGTAATTAAGAGCAAGAGAAGCTAACTAAAACCATGTTTTGCATTGAAGCAGTTTTTCTGTTACAATAAAGGAGGTAAACTGACGTGAAATGTCAATTGCTTGAATCAAAGTTAATCCAAGTCCGGACTTTTAAATAAACACACTGCATACATTGTTTGCTGGATGTACAGATCTAAGTGAAACATACTGAAGCGGGAGGAGGAAGACGTGTTCACAATGACCATGTGACAGGAAGTAAAAGCCCAAACAGCATGACATTCAAGATCAATAAGCGTTCAAAAACAGGATGGGATCTCAAACCAATCTCCAAAGCCAGTGACTGCAGTGCAGCCCAACTTAAGCTTGTATTGTGGAATAGCCTATGCCTAGAAACCACGTGTTAGGGTTATAACACATTTGTCTGGCTGCAGTCAAAATACTGGGAGATGACCCAGCAGCCCCATTCTCCATGTGCAACACCTCCCCAAAGCCAAGGTGAGCCGCAAAAAAGCACCACAGCTTTCTGTCCTGGTATTACACCAACACAAAGAATAGGTGTGCAGAGCAACTCAGTGGTGCTCTGAGGGAAAAATAGGCTGGTCTAGACTTACTTTAGACTGCATTGCAGAGCTATGAGGCAGGCTGCACTCATGTGGACGACGGGGAAATGAGGATCCAGCATTAATGAGCTCTGACATGCAACCTTGCTCCCAACGTCACCAGGTGGACAGAGACTTGGGCTGAGGCTGGGGTGGGCCTGCCTGTAGACAAGCTATTATGACCCCAGCCACATCAGCACCTTACAAAGGTGCTCCTCTATCTTTCCAGCACCCGTCAGTCTGAAGCATAGGCACCATTAGAACCCAGTTACTGGGGAATGTGGCCCAGTATTGATCTGCTGTGCCCCAGTAAAAATCACACATTCGAGTTTTAACTTTTCACTTTTAATTAATCTGCTGTCAAATATATATTTGACAGCAGATTAATTAAAAGTGAAAATCTGGGAAAGGAAGGTGCACTGGTCAGGGGGTGTACATCATAGCTGGTGCACTGCAGTGCACATGCAGCAATCCATGTATTGGCACACAATACAAAAGAAAGGAACGGATTTAGGTATGTGACAGGGACTAATATTTTTGACTAACACCAATCTTATTGTATTGGCACACAATACAAAAGAAAGGAATGGATTTAGGTATGTGACAGGGACTCATATTTTTGACTAGTACCAATCTTATTTCGACTCAAACACCGCCTAATGTAGATGGACATAAAAAAAAATTCTTCAGAGGATGAGACGGAAGAAGTTCACAGATATGAGGGTGAAAGAGGTAAGGCCTGTAGTTGGTAAACAAAGTAAAATTTAGTTAGCTAGTATGTAACCAGCAACACAGTAATGCTGATGTTGACTGTGAGGTTAATCAGAACTCTGTACATCAATGTATATGATCAGATGCACTATTTATTGGTGTACTACATGAAATAAAACTAATGCCAAGTAAGCAGCATAATACATCACATGTAGTTGTTTATGTTAACTCTGGACTATTCATTCTGCATTTAATGAACAGCCTACAACATAATATTTAATGCTCTTGTTTGTTTCATGCACATTTAACAAACAGGTAAACAGGCAGGTGTGGAGGAAGCTGTCTGCAGCTCTGGAGACAGGTGTGTGGCCATCAGCCTTTCACTGCACAATACACTTTCAATGGAACTGGAGCACTGATATGTTATAGACTCTTATGAGTTACAAAAAGTGATTTGATTGGTTTTTAAATTAATGATTCATTGAGAGGTTATCTTGTTACAGTTTACAGTTTAAATCTGACAAATTAAACTATGGCTGCTTGACAATAAAACTAGTTATTGCTATGAAGTGCAGAACACAAAGAAATGTGCAATACAGAGCCAAACTTTTATGCCATAAAATCACGTTGAGAATCTTCTTAATGTATGTGTAAATAAACATTTCCATCAATCCATTATCTATACCGCTTATCCTGATAAGGGTCATGGGGGGTCAGAGCCAATCCCAGCTGACATTGGGCGAGAGGCAACATAAACCCTGGACAGGTCGCCAGTCTATCACAGGGCTGACATGTAGACAACCAACCACACACCCCCACACCCACTTATAGAGGCAACTTAGAGTCACCAATCAACCTAAGCTGCATGTCTTTGGTCTGTAGGAGGAAGCTGGAGCACCCAGGGAGAACCCACACAGGCACAGGGAGAACATGAAAAGGCCCAGAGCCGTCCTGCACCCGGAACCTTCTTACTGTGAGGCGACACTGCTAACCAACATGCCACCATGTCGCCCAACTATTTTCATAAAGATTAAAATCTGTACATTTTTATCTTTAACAGTAGTCCTTTCTGTTTCAGTAGCAGCTGTATGGTATGGCAGTGGAATATTGGGCTAAGCAAGGGAAGTTCATATAGCACAATGTACGGCACATTACATTCATGCAACAGACATTCAACAAAAAATACATGTGTGATTTGATTAATGGGGGCCCTTGCCCCAGTAAAGCTTTATGTCTAGCAACACCCCTGGTCTGAAGCCAAGTTGACATCATTTTTCAGCAAGTCACAATATGGAGACGTGCAGCTGTTTGCGCCTCTTGCGCAGTTAACAGCCCACTACTAACATATTCAAATTAAACATCTGAGATTATTATATAAGGCTTATGTCACTGAGAAGTGATGCGTGATACGGCAGCCACCAGAACATCCCTACTGCCAGCTGATGGGCTAAAATATAGTCCAAGCCGGTTACCCTGCAGCTGAAAGCTAAACTAAAGCTCTGTCATGTGAAATGCCAGACAATCAGTACAGGATGACAGCCTGCACCAAGCTTCCAGGGGCCACAGGAGCACCCCTGGCCGTGCCCTTGATTAGTAACACCATTACGGGGACTACCACAGTACCAAATTCGGTCCATGCACCCGGTAACGCGGTGACTATCACTCGACCTGATCCGAGCTTCCGTTCTCCTTTTCTCAGCAGTAATATTACACAAACTTGGCTAAGGACGGCAAATTCAAAACTTTAACCAAAGCCAATAAACAGAACCAGCACTACCTGAGTTGCGCAAATCTTCCATAAATAACCCGGGTAAATCGGGGAGAGGGGGGGCTGGCTTCCAGGTTGGTATCCAGAAGAAACGTGGTTCAGGGTGTTCCGTTCCGTTCCGCTCCGTTCCCACCCCTGCCCTTCCTGGCGCAAACAGCCATTGGATTAGCGGCGGATCGAGGGGAGGAGAGCGAATACACACTGCGCCATTGTGAAAATGGCACTAAATATTTGCACAACTTTTTCAAATAGATCAAAACTGAGTCAAATGTTGCACATGACACTAAGTGTGGCACTCAGAAACACAACCCCTGACGGCTGCCAACGTGTAGTTTTATTACACAACCCCCTTCTCGGTCAGGTTATTTTTTTCTTGCCGCACAGATGTCGGTGCCCCCAAAGCGGGCCTGAAAGCCGAATAAAAAGCCCGATTTTATGCTACCTGTGACGCAGGGGTTTTAATTGGAAAGTTACCCTGTACGGAGTCCACCCTGGTGCAATCAATTGCAGATATACCCGGCCGCCGCCAGGGGCGCCCTCACCTCACGTATCACATGAACTATCTTCGTTTGTCATGCGGTGGTAAACAACTGGGCTCAAACAAATTCACGCACCACGTTTACACCAGTCTCCTGGTTGAAGTATGACCCAAAGCCTGGTATAAACCCACTATTTTCACAGCCAGATTCAATTTGCCCCCTCCTCCCCCAGCGGAAAACAGCACTGCCTGCCGTCCGCCATTAGGGAGCCAAATGAACAATACTGGAGACTAGAGGCGGCAGCGGCCACAGCACACAGAGAGGGGCACAAATCTGTTCAAATTAACTGTTTATTCTTCCCCAAATGTGTCTTCTCGCCCCAGCGTGACTCCTGGGAGAGTCCCTCGACATGCGCCAAATCCCCAGCACAAGTTCCCAAAACTTTCACTAATTGGGCGTAAAAGTGGAATATAAAAAACGTCTGTTTAATTCGCTTACCGGAGTGCAGCTCGAATCGGTGTAGCGCCACTTTTGTGCCTTGACATTAATCCTGGGAGCGCATGCGCACACATAGAGCTTTCCACTTTCCGTGCAAAGATGATCTATTAGGAAGATGGCTCACTCCGCAAGAAGGGTGTTTTACGGGACGGAACACGCCTGTTTAGCTAATCAGGACCCAGAAGCTACGAACCCCCCCCACCCCCCGTGACCCCGTTCAGGGACTAAGCGGTAGAAAATGAATGCATGAATGAATGACTGCTGTCAGAATTGTCTGATTAGAATTCATGTGCTTGTTCATGTCTACCTCCTTTGCACATATCTGCTGTCCTCATCATTCAGTGCAAGCCCCTCGCAGACCGGTAAAAAATAAACATGGAGGAGAGCACCAACCCTGACAGGGGTCAGTGGAGAGACAAGGACATTTCACATTTGTTGGACATTTATGGAGAAGCTTCTGATTAAGCCAATTCAAAGGGAACATAGGAGCAGTTTTTGAGGGAATTTGACTGTGGCATGACTGTCACTGTTATACACATAGACCTATAGCCTATATGACTGTATGCACGTGGCTCACATTTCAGTTCAATCTTACCATGTGTGGCAGTTTAGGATGTCAATGATGTTCACACTGGAGCCAAATACAGTACATATCACAAACATGAAGTCGAACCATTAGCACAAAAAGATTAGATCTGAGAATGAGCTTTCAGGACCTAAGCAATTAAGCCCCAAGCGGTGGCCAGGGAGCAATTTTGAAGGAGACATCCCACAGATAAAGACCAATGCAATAATTAATATTTTGTTGCAGTCAAGGGGCTACATATTTCTATATTTTTACATTGAAATGCTAACCATGTTGACCAAACCAAAAAGTAGCCCATTATTGTGTTATATCAAATCAACTTATTCAGAGTGAAAGGGTAAGTTTCTATTTACATTAGTTTCTAACGTTATAACCAAGTCTTACCTGAGTAAGGAGCACACCTGGACTGTGAGCTCAATCAGCAACAAGCTAGTTTCTGTCCCACAGCTGGGCACATTAACACTTGTAGTCAAAGTACTAGCAGATAGTGATGGCCATCTGACACTGAGGCTCAGATACAAGCTTCAAACACAGAGACCTTTTCCATGAACCACCGCTTCGAAGTCTGCTTTGTTGCCGATGATGTCCGAAGCAGTGTCCCCTGAGTGAATCCCGTGACTGGTTCAAACAGTCCATAACTAACAACTACGCCTTTTTTGAATGATATAGCTAGTGTTCTATGTGCATTCAGTGTGGCTAATGTTAACATTAGCTAAAACCAGCTTAACTGCTTTTCTCGAGGCTCTCCTTCGCAATGACCCACTACTTTTGTAGACAGTGGGGAACAGCCAGTGATCACTTGGGGGAGGGGGGGAGGGGGCTATTAACAACTCAGACTTTGCAGCTCTGTTGTAATCTTCTGCAGTGAAACCCAAAAACCCGCCAGGACTGATGCCGATGTTTTCTCCCCCAATTTTATTTTTTTAACCAGTCTTTGCACGGTCCCACATCTGCTGGTAGCTGTCCCTCCTTTTTTTCTGTATGTAGTTGCTGCCCCCAGGCACCATACAATATGGCATGTTTGTTATCAATAAAACTAGTATTTATGTAGTTTTTTCGGAGATACACTTATACAGCCAGTATGTGCGGTTTCAAACACCCTCCTCTATGAACTCGGCGGGTTGGTTGAGCATTGTGCAAGGCTTCATGTGCTCGTGCGCAGTGCCTCTTGGTACATGGAGGCACAGCAAAAACTGCTTGTGTGAACTGGACAGCTCCAGAGAACACAGTTTCCCCTGCTAATATCACATGCACCGAGGGATTTATTTCTTCAATTGACTGCAATCACCATCAACACTGACTGAACAGCCATATAAAACGTAGCGAATTTTTCCCTTTAAGCCCTTCCTGCATACACACTCATACTTGTTGTAACCGAAAGTAGAGGCAGAGTGAGATATCGTTAGTTTATTGACCTCTCTGGCGGTATCCATTCTTATTTCTTCTTTTTTTCGCCGCGCAAGCGCACAAGGAGCAATCAGGAATTGCATGGCTGGCAATTAAAATGGGCCATTAGGCTGAAATAACCTTATCATATGCACCAAGGAAAGCGAATCCATTTCAGCTGGGAAACGGCATACTTTGATCATAACAGGTTTTGTTCGAAATGCTAAAACTGGCTGCATTCAAGTGCACAGCTCGGGTCCAATCAGGAGCAAGAATCCAGGTTGAGAGAGTTCATGTTCTCAGCTCTGTCTGGTTCCCTCAGGTAATTTCATCCAGACGCAGGCAGGAGAAACTAAACGGCTGATGAAAATAAAACATTAGATAGCGCACACATTTTAACAACGTTAGAAGTTCCTATCTTTTATTGCTCTACAATCACTGTAAACTACAACAGGCCAATTGTGAGTCACAAGGAGAAATATCATAGGAGTTATCTGGTGCTTTTATTTGAATTTGGAGGGAACAAGTCAAATGTAATGAAGATCACGTTGTTAACATGGCGGATCAGGTGCGTTCAAATGTCACACTGAAAGGTGCACATCAGATTCAGGTCGAGGGTCGGCGGCGCAGAAAAATGATTTCAATCTCTGCAGCTCCTCTCACATTTCTAAACTCACTAAAGGCAGCGATGGCTGGAGGACAGGGCGGTTTTATTGCCAAATCATGTCTGCAGCTGTGCAAAATGTTGGATTTCATGTTCACACTAGGCTGAGATTTAATAAGAAACCCGGTGATCTTTGATCAACTTCACAACTGTGTGTGTGGCTACAGGAGTCTGAGACCCCCATCCAAGCCTCTTTATAAGGCCCTCATACATTTCACTGCTTTTTTGCATTGAATGTAGACTATTTAGTTTAATTTCATATCACTTTCTTATAAGGCCCAATTTATAAAGGGTCTATACACTAAAATAAACGTCTTTAACCGTTTTATCAAAGAAGTTTCGTGTCCTTGTGAGTATGAATCGATGTGTTTGGATGCCTCCTAATGAGATCACACAGAGTGATCAAGAAATAAGCACCAAAAGACCTTTTCTAAATGGTGCCTAAAATTATATCAGTGCAAAATGAGTGACTTCACCAGACTCTGTTCTTTTATTTGGGGAGATTTGATCACGTATCCACACTGGATTAAAAACTTCCAGCATGATAAATAGATATAAGCACAGAAAAGTGTGAAGATATACTCTATTTACACATTTTTATTGCAAGACATATGCTCAGGGCAAGTTACTGACTGCAACATCTGGATGAGGCACTGAATGTGAACCAGCTGCTGTTTTTGCACTAGAATGAATGCACACAAGACCTAAAGCTGTTATCTGTGTAAACAAAACAAAAATAAAAAATTACATTTTGATGCAAATAGCACTGAATATTTTATCGCTTACAAAAATACTCAAAGTAGTTGTAATGTGTTGTGTATTGTCAATGAGACGACAAAAATGTTTTAAATAAAAACAGGAAGCACTGCCATCTGTGTATTAAAATCAAGACAGATTTATGTTTATCATTGAGTTGTCAACAACGGGTATGTTCCTCCTTCACTTTTCCTCTTTGACAGCACAATCATCAATGTGCAGTCTGACAGCATCACAGACAAACATGCAGAAACATTTCAGCAACATTTTCCCATGTTTTAAAGACATATTTCAGGCCTGAACTGAGCTCCTGCAGGATATCACCCAGTTAAAACCTTGCTCTCACAACATCTGACCGCCTTGCTGTAGAGGGTCTCCTTTCATATCAAATCCTGATGAAAAAGGCTGGAGGTGAGTATAGAGTGAGTTTTGAATGGTAGCCCTGCTGCTCTGTCCAGTGTCCACAGATAAATGTCTGAATTCTGCAGCAATCCGTTAAGTGATTGTGAAGCTCTTATGTTGAAAACCATCCGAGCTTTTTACTGTACACACTAAATAACTTAACCCACTCATTCAGTGGCAAAAAAGCAACAAAATATTTGCAGTCATCAGATGAAACTTTATACATTTATATAGTGTGAGTATGTACAATCCAGAAAATATAAACAGCAACTCTGTGCAGGGAAGGCAAAAGGAACATCCTTCAAGATCACCTCATTTTGGTGTATTAACCTGCAGAAAGGTGGTTGGCAAGTAAAGGGCAGTAACACCCAATTTACGGATGAAATGTGCTGTGTCTTTGGCCCACGGGAGTGGAGTCAGCGAACCTTTGTGTTCTGAGGTGACATCACAGAGATGTGAAATTGGCAAACTGGTCTGTGAGCTTGTGAAACCAGCAGATGCTGTCATTTTAGGTCAGCAAGCAAGTGGGACATGCTAACTTAAATCGCACTTGCGTGTAGAAATGTGCATAAAACTATTTTTCATTCATTATCAACAGACCAGTGCCAAATCTGACTTCTGCTACCCATTATCACTTTAGGAAAAAGTTAGGTTTTGACTGACTTTCCATTCATGGTGAGTGTGTGGGTGGAGTTGACACTAATACACAGGTTAATGCACTGAAATAATGCTAAAATAATCTGTTACCAAAGATAAAGTGAGTGGGAAAGCATTAGCTTGGTCCAAGAAAATGCAAAAAAAGATAATGGAAACCTCATTTTCTTCAACTGCACCCCCCCACTCCCCAAAAATCAGTCTACACGCAGCCTAGGTTTACAAAGAACACACACATCTATCATAACAACACTGACAGAAGGTGGAGCTCGGAGAAAGGCACGAACCGGGACGGTTTTTGAAGTTACTAATGTATAGAGGAGGGAGTTTCTGACTGCGCCCTGCACCTGGAAGCTGTGAGCGACAGGAATCCACACCTTTAGACTTATGCTTCATACACAGCCCAGTGCAGAGCTGTGGTCTGACCAGGATTCAGATGTCGTCAAAGAGTGTTAGCCTTTGAGAATGTGCGCTGACGTCAGAGGAGACAAGCATCCAACAAACTCTTCCACTGAGCATGGCAGGGCATTTCGGCTGCTGTGCACTATGTGGATGTGTGGCGCTGGGTTTTTCAGTGTTTTGTTGTGCTGATATGACCAGAGAGGGCTTCACTGCAGCTGGACTCTGTACGCACAGATGAGGAGCTTGACCTGAGGAAAGAAAAACTTCAGAAAACAATGGCTACAACTGCTTCTTTTCATTTTTTTTAGCCAAAAGTGGGTTTTGAAAACATTTAAATTTGCAAATGTACTGTGTGTGAAACTGAGAATAATCAAAAACACTTTTGTTTTGAATAAACCTAAGAAAAACTAGAGACCTTGAGAGTACGGTGATACTTGAGAGGCTGGTGATATTCTGTAATTTAATTACTGTCAATAAATCCTGTGCAGAGAACCAACAATGATCTGATCCTACTAACATGTATAATGTGTGTATCCAACCTGTGTATTACTCCATCAATGTTTAAATAAAATATTCAAAAACACGCCACAGACCCACACTGTTGCACAGGGTGACATAATCCTTCATTACATGATCATACACACTGTAGTTTATTTTGATTCAATACACCATCTTACTGATGTAAATACTTTGATAATAGTCCCTAACAAGTGCCTTTTACTCCTGAGTAACATTTGTTAAAAACTGTGCCCAGATCCTTTCTTTCTTGAAAGACACAGATTGTTAAAAACAGCTCAGAAATATTTAAAGTGCTAAATTTGACAGCTGGATTTGCTTGAGGTTCTTGAAGATGTTTCACCTGTCATCCGAGAAGTGTCTTCAGTTCGGTCCTCAAACATCTAACCTCAAACAAGACCAGTTGCCAACTTTAGCACTTTAGATCTTTGTGAGCCATTTTCAAAACTTTGCATTTTCTAGAAACATTGTAGAGAAGCTGAGAAACACTCAGATTAATGCCAGTACCATCTTTCAGCATGAAGTTAACAGCCACCATCACTGAATAGGAACAAGATGCGTGAGAACCTCAACTGCTGCATACAATGCCCGAAGCACTTTGTCTGATCTACTAAAAAGACATGAGTGTCAACAAAAACTATGAATTTGCAAGCTGTTATTTGTAGCAACTAACTTGGAGTGATACTCCAGCCAAAAACGTAAGAAATATTTTGAGTCTGACACTCAGCTGCTCCAGGCTAGAACGGTCTCTTTTAAGCCGTTACTCAGTTCAAGATTGGCACGTGCTGTGTTGGTGTTCTGCCACACGTACACGCAAGACCATGATGGTAATGTAATCCAGAAGGTCTTCTTTCAGTAATCCACCATGCAAAATACTACGAAAAAGCAATTTACGACTGTAAAGTTTCCACAGCATAAATTATTTGATCCTCTCTCGACAATGGCGAGATAAGAACAGTAAGCAATCTGCTGATGCATGGTATTCCTGGATGACACTGGATTGTGTTGCCAGGTCAGGTTTTTGGCAGGAGCTGCTGTGCAGATGCAGTGGTCTCACTGAAAATGCCAGTTTATAAAGGTGTTTCGTGAAGCTCTGTTGTCAGCTGGGATTCATGTCTGTTACATCAGAATACAGACACATTTTAACAGATGAAAAAATGCACGATAACACCCATAAAATGCTTAAATAAAATCTGCTGCTTAATCCACTTCTCCGCTGTCCATCTGTATACTCAGTATGACCCATTATTATTACATACTGTAACACCCATTTTTACTAAAACTGGTCTCAGTCCTTGCAGCAGGCACATCTCCTGCCCTTCCACTGGCCAAGAGTGCTGCTCTATTCTAGCTCATTCATTGGGGACACTTCTCTCTACAATTTAGATTTGTCTAACTACACAGCTTCTTATAGTCCAACTTTCAAGAGTACCTCAAAATGTTGACAATACTGTTACCACACAACAGTGTCTCTAAACCTCCTGACTGACAAATCATCTCTTCTTCCTTTACACTCCCAATCCCAAAATGACACATGACTGGCAGAGCTTTTCACTGTATGTGCATGTTCAAAATTGTATGTGTGTGTCTGTGTCACCTTGGCTGCTGGAGCCTCGGCTAGACGAATGAACAGTTTGTTGATGCCTGGAACTGGGCTGAAGGAGTAGATGAAGTGACTGTCCTGAATGTGCAGACACAAAATAAATAAAAACATGAGGAAAAACAAGCATATTGCTACTTCGAAAAGTAATAAGGATTAAGAGTAAAAATTAAGTACATGCACGCATATAATAGCTTTTTGTGAATTGCTTGTGCAGGTGTAAGAAATCTGAGCAGGATGCAGTGTCTCTCAGCTATACTCCACGACACTCGCACCCTACAGCCCTTTTGTTCTTATTCCAGCTTCTCGACCCTGTGTTGTCAAAGTACAGTCTGTAAATTAGCCCTCTTTGCCACCTAGCCAAGGTTAGAAGAAGCATTTTCAAACTGTGAGTAGTCATTTCCAACATCCAGCCATGGAGGAGCTCTGGGCAGCTATAAGTCTGAAACAGTCGGCTGACAGAGTAAAGAGGTGGCATTTGTTTGCACAGAGAGAGGGGTACAAAGAAAGAGCAACAACCAGGGTTAACATCAGTTTGGCTTTTTGAGATGAGAGGGTTAAAAGCAGCCAAAGGATTCAGATTGGATTGAGATGTTGGCGTTCTTCCTTCTGGATGTGTTAGCATCTAAAGCTAACCACTTTGTTTTGGAGATATATAACATTAGCAACCTAGCATGGTCACCTTTGTGTTGAATTAATACGAGTAATTCGAGCTTTGTGTAATATTAGGGCTTTGTGTCACATCAGCAGTAACGGGAGCTTCTACCGGACTGACAAATGTACCCACAAGATGGCGGCACATGCACAACATGAGGCTCAGTGTCTCCCCAGATTTTGCAGTGATTCTCCTGCTTTTTTGTGTCTGTTCATGCAGAACAGCTTTACCTTAATGTCCTACACCCGACAAGAACTTTTGGATATCGGTCTACACCACTCCAGCAATTTTATCACCAATCTTCGACTCACCCCTGAAATCTCCAAAACACCAGCGTCTACGTACTCTACCCAGTCGGGTAGAAGTGCTCGCAGGTGGTGTCAAGATCATAAAGGCGTGAAAAGCGTGGAGTTAGAGCTAAGCTAAAGCTAACACCACACCAGCTCTCTTTACCCAGCATTTTCCTTGCCAATGTGCGGTCATTGGTGAACAAGATGGATGAAATACGACTTCACATCACCAACAGTAAGATACTTATGGACTGCAATATTATGATTTTCACTGAAATATGGCTAAACAGCAGCATGACCTTTCTTTGTTTCTCATTCCCAAGTACTCACCACACAGACTGGACTATGTTTGCCTCCTAGGCTACCTGTGACTCTCACATGGACATTGACACCTACGCTCCTGTGCTGGACTATATTAACACTACCACTGACAGTGTACAGTATGTGGAAGGGCATTCAGGTCATCAGTGACTACAAGCCCGGCAACTCCACCCAAACAACCACAGATGTCTCCTTCCTCATTGAGCTAAATTACTTCTATGCCTGCTTCGACCGGGACAACAAGGAGACAGCTATCAAGTGTAGACCCTCCACAGGCCACCAGCTGCTCAGACTCACCTCCACTGACATGTTTGCTGTACTGAGCAAGATCACTGCACGTAAGGCTGTTGGCCCTGACGACATTCTTGGACGCATGCTCAGGACATGTGCTGAACAGCTTGCTGGCGTCTTTACAGACATTTTTAACCTGTCCCTCACCCAAGCAGTTGTGCCGACGTGCTTCAAGACCACATCCATTGTGCCAGTGCCAAAACGCTCCACCCCAATGTGCCTGAATGACTACCGCCCTGTAGCACTCACACCCATTGTCATGAAGTGCTTCAAGCGCCTGATCCTGGCACACCTGATGACCTGTCTTCACCAATTTGCCTACCGCAGGAATAGGAGCACGGAGGATGCAGTCTTCATAGGTCTATATTCAGACTCAGACATCTGGACAATAACAATACTTACATGAGAATGCTATTCGTGGACTTCAGCTCAGCATTTAACATGGTCATCCCCTCCAAATTAACCACTAAACTTGGTGACCTGGGCATCAGCACCTCCCTCTGCAACTGGATTTTGGACTTTCTGACCAACAGGCCTCAGCATGTTAGGTCAGACAACACCAGCTCCTCCACCATCATCCTCAACACCAGCGTACCACAGGGCTGTGTGCTGAGCCCATTCCTCTACTCCCTTTTCACCCACGACTGCAGGCCTGTGCATGGAGCTCATTGTAGACTACAGGAGGGAGAAAGGAGGCACAAACGACCTCATCCATATTAATGGGATGGTTGTTGAATGTGTCTCCAGCTTCAAATTCCTGGGGACCCATATCTTAGAGGAGCTGTCCTGGCCCACCAACACCTGCAGCCTGGTTAAGAAGGCTCACCAGCGCCTCTTCTTCCTGAGGACACTGAAGAAGAACCACCTTTCTTCAGCCATCCTGGTGAACTTCTACCGCTGTGCCATCGAGAGCATCCTGACCAGCTGTATCACAGTCTGGTATGGAAACTGCTCTGTCTCCGACCGCAAGGCACTGTAGCAGGTGGTGAAAACTGCCCAACACATCACAAGGACTCTACTTCCAGCCACTCAGGGTATCCACAGGGAACATTGTCTCCGACGTGCTCACAGCATTCTCAAGGACTCCTCTCACCCTGCTCACAAACTGTTTGACCTCCTGCCCTCTGGGAGGCACTTCAGGAGCCTCTGGACCAACACCAGTAGACTCAGGATCAGCTTCTTTCCCACAGCTGTCTCCTTACTGAACTCTGTCCCCCGTTGACGCCCACTGCCTTCTTCTATGCCACTACACACACCTCACCCTTTCTCTTCTCTCCTCCCGGGATTAATTCAATACACTTCTGTTACCTGTAACACTGAAGTGATCTGTTAATTTGCACATACTCACAGAATACTGCTGTTATTCATTTGCACACTCTACTGTACAAATTCAGATACTGTATATTTATCTTTGCACTATTTACATCCATTGAACTGTTAACTCATTTAACTTATCTTCCTATTCTGCACTGTTTATTTCATTCTATTTATCCCATTGCGCTAGTGTTTTATAGCTTAATGTACCTTATCCATTATTTGTAATTTAAATCCATAAAGTGTGTATATTGTATATTACCTTATATAACTTACTGTAAATATCAATTCCACATATCCATTGGTAAATTAGTTCTGACTGTAAAGACTGCAGATACTGCACACTCTTCACTGCTGTTATTGCACTTCTGATTAGATGCTAAACTATATTTCGTTGCCTTGTACTTGTACATGGGTAATGACAAAGTTAAAGCTAATCTAATCTAATGTAATGCTAGCTTCAGACTAAAGGCTGAATTTTTTTTTAGCATCTGCATAGTTTACATCATTGCTAAGAAACAGGACATGATAGAAGTGGCAAAGAGCGTTTAGGAGCAGCTTATGTTGTCATTTTGTTTTGAGTCTCACTTGACCCTTTAGACTGAGAGGAAATTAGGTAGAGTAACTTTAAGAACAAACCAGGAAGATGGGAAGCTGGAACTTGTCGTTGAGCACCACAGCATGAACACTGCAGGGTCCACACAATCTGGCTGTTATCTCGTTCAGGAAGTTGGCGTGGAAGATGAACAGGAGGATTCCCGAGCCTGGAATAAGAGGGAGAGACAGAAGCATTGTGGGAGAGGAAAAGAAGAAATGATAAAAAGGAAGAAAAAAATTTAATACTTTTAGGAGCACACAGAGTGAAATCTCTTTTCACATTCATCATAGTCAAAGAATGACAGAAATCCTGTAGGGACAGGGCTTCAGACCTGCAGATACCTTTCTACCACTACAACACAATCACCTCAACAAGAACCACAAAAAAAATCTATTAAGTTGTGTAAGATGATAAAGTTGTGTACTGAGAAATGCAACCTCTGAACTCAAAGTGTGTTTTACCCTCTGGTTGGGGCTGTGGCTTGAAGCCAAACTCCATGCAGAAGTCTGGTCCCTCACAAAGCCTGTGACAGGCAAGGTTGAAGATGGGCTCCAGCAGCACCAGACGAGACTCGAAGTATGCTCGGATGGTGTCCTCTGCCACACTGGACAACCTGACAGGCAAGAGGCAAGTAGAAATACAAAAAAAGACTGTATGAGCAAAACACATAGGAAATAAAGAATGAATGGACAGACAAGAACAGAGCCACACACCAAACTGATGCATTTAGTCAGGAACACTTTAAGAGCCATGTAACCATATGCATGTGGTATATACCAGCCAGTGTTAGCCAAGAATGGAATGAAAGCTGTGCACTTACATGCTGGTGTGGTCCTTGATGAGGTCGCACACCATCAGGTTGTTGCTGAGCTTGGCAAAGTACATGGCTGTGTTCTTATGTTTGGACAGGATATTGCAGTCAGCTCCATACTCCAGCAGGAGGCGCACTACATCAGCGTTTCCTCTTTTGCATGCCTGAAGTTAAAAACAGGACACATTTACTCCCATGTACTTAACCTGCCAGTGAAAATATCTCTGGATATGAGGCTAAAGGGACATTAAATACTTTTTTTCTCCTCCCATCACTGCATGCATTGGTAAGACAAATGATAAAGACAAGTTTCTGCTGGGGCTGGATGAGCTGATAAAAATTACTGTCTATTATAGAATACATTATGTGAAATACTAAATTTGGTTGACTGTGATGCTACAGGAGAGGGTTAGTTTAGCTTCACTCGATGACTGGAAATGGGGGGGAGGGCAGCAGACTGGCTATGTCCAGTGGTAACTACTAGATCTACATCAAACTTGAGGTTACCTTCATCAGTGCCGTCTCCCCACCCAGTGTCTGAGCATTCACGTAGGAGCCCGCCTCCAAGAGGATAGCAACAGTTGTCAAAAAATTCTGACAGGGACGAAATAAACATAAAGAAATACACAGAAGTGGTGAGTGTTGGTATTTCAGTTAGCGGGTGCAGAAATCCTGCTGGTGTCAGCTGTTTGTGAATACTGCATGAGTGGTTTCCAAACCTTTTAAAACACTGCACAGCTTCAGAGAGTTTTTTCCCTCACACAAACAGCTAAGCAGAGTGCAATGCTCTTTGATCAAATGTGGAGACTGTATGAGTAAGTTGGACAAGCAGAACACAAATTTGCAGGAATGTGCTATCTTGGCCACTTTACTTATATCCTCCAGGTGTAAATCAGAATTGTTTGAACCTGAGCTGTAACACATGCTTCCCTCCAGTCTTCAGTGAAAATTTCCTGGTTCAGATCCAATTTACAAGCATCCAATTTAAACTGAGGTTTCAACAGAACCTGATGTAAGCCATTTGGGAATTCTAAATGACATGTACAAAGTTACAGTTTAAGTGGAAACTGCCTCGCGTTGTGGTTGAGAGGCAGAATTACCTTTTCAGCAGCGTGCATCAGGGCTGTAGTGCCATTCTTCTGTCGCCCATTCACTCTCACCCCCTTCTTTATCAGCAACCTGAGGATGTCGTCCTGCCCTCCTGCTGCTGCAAGCATGCTCAGGGACATACCACTGACATCCTGTGAACAAACAGATGCAGAGATATTATGTCACAGAGAAAGGGAAAATAACGGGCCTTTCCACTGACCGGTTGTGGATTGTTAAACTGCAGTTTGCACTGTATTACAGCTGAAGAAGGGAAAATCACTAAAACTTAAATCAAACATTTCTCCAACTTTCTTCTAGCTCTCAGAAGACATTCCAAATATGCTATATGGGCCTATGTTTCCCTAACTTGTGTATTAGTCCCGCCCACATAAGATGTGAGGATTCCAGGAAACATTTTTAGAATCATGAGACACCCTTTCCTCCAATCTTCAGTGTGTCGATCTATTCAAATCTTCTGCAAAGAACGAACAAGTCTTGTGTATACTCGCTCATGGCTCCTCTAGCGGTCTCCTTGCTCCTTAGAGCAGGAATAAGAGTCTTGGGACATCGCAGATCTTCATTCAACTCAGAAGGCGTTCTGGTCAAGTGAGGATCAAGGAATGCTCATATAAATATCCACAGAGTTACAAATAAAGTACACTCAGGCTGTGGCCATAGTGTTAGCTACATCGTTGAGTTTGTGGACAGATATTCCTTCTACAATGCAACAATGGCAAACTGCAAGCCCGTTTAATGTTTTTTTAAACATCAACTAAAAGCCTTTTAAAACTACAACATATCAATGTTTGTATTAAGCATTCACACCCCAACACCCATCATCCACCCTTCTCAGCTGTAAACTTGTCTGAGGAAACCACCACCTTATTACAGTAATGGCAGGTCTAGTTTTTTGGTAACAAGCTTCAGTCATAATGCAGGAAAGTGATTACTCTTCACAGACTGACAAGACCTCATAGATAAAGTAGTTTAAAAATCCGTACTACACAAATTAAAACCTACTAAACAGTCTCCTTTGGGACTATGTATTACAAGTCTAAAAAGGCAAAAACAATGGCAACAACTTCAACATTCAAACCAGTTTTTCCCCTCATAACAACAAAATCTTCCAATTTTAAGACAAGGAGTATTTTATTGTACAGACAGAAGGTACATGTTCCTCACTGAACTTGATAAGAAGCAGTAACTAGAAGCAACAGAATTACAAGTAGATGGAGAGTAACACTAACTACACAATAGCAATGAAAGAAAGCTATTTACTATACAGAAAAAAAACTTAACACCAAACAGCAAGCGCAGCATCTGAAAGATCGTGTACCATTTGTAGACCTTCCAAATATAACTGTATCTGGAGTCAAACTACTGTATATTCTGAAATACAGATAAACCCCTTTTTCACAGGACACATTTGTTTGTATGGTTAAAATGACCTAGTAATGCCTTTGGTATGAAAGGATGAACACTGGTTAACTGTACAGCTGCTAGGCTAAGGACAAGGCTTTTATCCTTGACAAACATCAGCAGCTCAAACAGGAACTCCTGCTCAGAACATTCACTCCTTTAGACCACAAAGAAAACTGAAAATACCTGTAGAAGCAAATGTTCTTTTCAAGTGACCTCTACAAGGTCGAGTGACCTGACGAAGCAAAAGACCATCCTCAGCTCTTGTTGAATATCCAGTGTAAAACAAACACTGCAGTGACCAAATTTTGAAACTGAAATGTGAGAAGAGCCTGTGATAAGCAGTCTGCTATTGGCAAATGCTGGTTGAAACTGTGTTCGGTCTTCCGCTTGAAGCCACTGTTTATGTGAAAGATACAAAACTTAAATGGAATATATTTTCAGTTCAAGGTAATAATAGTACAAAAATGTGAATTTTGTTGAAATACTTTCCACAGGCAAAGAAACTGACCTTTTCATTCAATAATACCTGGTGATATAGTCAAAATGTTCCCTATCTACACCTACAGTGAGGAACAATCTCAGAGTGGGAATGCACCTACAACGTGAATTTCAGACCCCTCCATGATTTCTAAGTGGGAGAACTTGCAAAATCGCAGGGTGTTCAAATACTTATGTTCCTCACTGTATCCTATTACTTTTAAAAACAAACAATATTTTTTTTATCCTGTAATGTATTAACACTTCTAAAATATATATAAATAAACCATTCTAAACTGTAGGTTTACCGGCCCAAGTGCTTAGCCATGATTAATACCGCACAAAAATAATCAGGATTATGTTGCTACACTGTGTGTTAGGCAATCACCATGGTTAAGAAATGAATTTAATGCAATATTCAACATAATAAGGCAATTTGACCTTGGCAACTGCTAATGTCACATCCACATAAAAACTTAAAACACAAATATCAATGCAGTGTCTTTTACCTCAAATTAGAGTTCATCAAATGCAATACAGTACTAAAATGTTCTAGAGCTTCTGTATAATGATATAAAAATACAACCAAATCTCTGTTATGGTAATACACACACACAAAAAGACATAAATCAAGATAAACATTTAACAACAGGTTTCTTAAAAAACTAAAAGTGTTTTTAATAAGTGAGAGGTATGCACAATGAGCTCCTATTTCTCTAACATCAGCAACAAAGCTATACTATTAGTGCTGCAGACTATCAGGGGCCATCTACAATATAGGCTACTGGCTAAAGCAAGAAAATAGTACACTTGGCCACGCATTTGGTAACTATATTACTATACAAGTCAACGTACATCTAACATATT